TTTAGAATTACAATCCGTAAACTAACCATTGTCCCAATTATTACTAGCTAGCGAACAAAAAGAAAATTTATTATATGTTTGTTTCTTTTTGAATTTTGCGCAAAGCTACGCGAGGGCAGTCTGCGCTAGCCGTCCCTAATTTAGCAGTGATAGACTAGAACGAAGGCAGCTAGCCAATACCACCCACCGTCAACTCTTGAGCTACTCTTTTACCAACAAAGAGTGGGAATTGGCCGAACATTATAACGCCCCATCGGCTGAAAGGGCGAGCATGTTCGGTGGCGAGGATTCGAAATTGCGTCCCGCGGATTACGAACCGAGCGCCCCAACCATCATGTCATGCCAGACCTATTACGAATACCTGATAATGTATTTATCTTACTTTTCTCTCTCTACTTGAGAACGGTAGAGACCGATATGTTTTATACGTCACAGTCGTCGGTTTCAATTGTCCTATTGAGTTTTCTTTCCTTCCCGTTTTATTCACTGTTGCAAAGATTTTGTCTGATTTGTGTACCCTAATAGTTGATTGAGTTATACTTTATGTTGTCGTTTGCAATCTCCTATAGATATTTTATGTTTCTATGGTTTGAATTATTTTTCATTCTTAGCTATACATATATATTTCATGCAACGTTATCGTTATCATTATAATTTACATCATAAACTAATGTCAATCGTGTATATCTACTTTTGCACAATTAGTTAACGCTGAAAATAGCGTAATTTGCCTTTAGGACACCTTATAATATGGTCTAATGCAGTATAAGGAAAGTTTAATGATGCAATAAGGCAACACTAAAAATAATCTTGTTTGCCTCGAGGAAAACTTATTTGCATGATACACCAAGAGGGTTTGGCACAAAAAAGGTAGTCGTGACAAAATGTTATACAAGGTTTAACACTTAATTTAGCAGATGGTCAGAAACTAAACACAGACAACAATATTAAGTTTGGGCTCAAGAATGTTTCCTGCTGAGTGGCAGGGAATTTTCTTCTTCTTGCTACTGGTTTCCTTAGTAGCAGTCTTGATCTACTAGTGGATATTCATCAAGCAAAATCTTGGAGAGAATAAGACGTAATACTAATTAAGTTATATAGATACAATATATGCCTGGGATGTTTCGTTCAATCATGCTTGGTGTTTCCTTAACGCGGGATCGTTTATAGGGCTTTTGTGAACTAAATATCAGCACAGTCGTCTCTCTTTCTCATAGTTTAGCAAAATTACCGTATTAATAGAAATCATAATCATTTCCTGAAACTATTTTATTAAAGTCATAGTAAAAAAAAATCATAATATCAACCAATAATAGATTATTGAATTTGTAAAAATAATAATTGAAATCTTTATTGTTTAATTTTATAGGATAAATATAATGTTTAAAAAATTGTAAATCAGTCAAGATTTTATTCTATGACATGTTGTGAATTTCATTACATCATAGATGTCTATTCTAATTTTATAGAACATACTTTGGTCTTGTCTTACAAAAATTTCACATTCAAGTCGAAATAAATATTATTTAAGAATTAATCAGACAAAAGTTTAACAAAACATAAACCTCACCGAACTTAGCTTTTATCTAAATAACTATTTATGTTCTTTATGCATTCCAAAAGGTAGTTTAGTTGAATCAATTGCCAAATGAATAAAATTACATGTTAACACTTTTGGATTCGGCTTATAACTTTTAAGTTTAAAATTAAATAAACAAATGAGGGATGCTATCGAATTTTATCTCGAAAGAGTTACTAAGTTATCTTCCCTACGGAGTTAATAAACTAATTATTAGGTGTCACTGCTGTAATGCTTCTTAAACGATAGTTGACATCTAGGTACTTGATATATTCTACTGACTTGGAACGATTCTACATATTATGTAAAATGGTAAGTTAATAACAAAATATATAATTAAAGCTAACAAAAGGTCTCGTTTATCAAAACGTTATGTCCTCGAGTGTGTGCTTCCCCACAGTGGCACAGCGGTACCTCTGTAGGCTTATAAAAACAAGGTATCGATAGTCGTGGTGGGCAGACTACTGAGTACGTTTGTGGTTAACAACAAAAGTAATTTTTTTAGCGTTTTTCCTCATTATCTAACTATAAATAGATATAAGTTTAGTAGTTTTAATATAAAAACTATTTTATCGAGATATTATTAAGAATAATATTAAAAGGTTCGTGACTATCTGCGATAAATCGTCCTACTCCATTTTCTTCTGTTCTTCTTAAAACATTCTCAAAACACCCTATTCACCATCTGTCACCAGTAGAATCGATCGACAAATCAGTGACACTAATATCTATCACAAAATAACATCTTCAATTGAAATACATAATATATTTATATCTATAAACAGCTAATGTTGCACCTGTTCATATATATATATAGGAGAGGAAAAATGCTACGACTATCTCGGATGTTTCAACAATGGTGGAAACTTTTATGACCCTGTCAAACGTCCAATCGACGTTCTTCCTCAAGATCGTGATGTTATTAACACACAATTCAATTTGTACACCTCTAAAGACAATAATAATTACGAAACATTAAACTCAACAGATAAAAACAACATTTTCAACTGAGGTATCATTCCATCACCAAACACAAAGATCCTTGTTCATGGCTTTACTTTGTGTTTTAGTGGTTTATTGAAAGGCTTTACTTCAACACTTTGTTTAGTTAGAAAATAGAATATTTCTCCTTGTGTCAGAAAAGTACAGCTGGGTTTTATTAGAAACCACTATAGTTTCTGTGGAAACTGACAAGCTTAGACGACAATACTTTATTTTTCCTAAACTGTATATATATTTAAATATACATTCTACTTAATAACCATCCCTATGCTAAAAATGCACACTAAATGATTTTATATAACGCATTATAATTTCGCTTTTTGCAGAATATGAAGGATGAATATCTAAAAGATGATTAAAATATCATTTTAGTTGACTAGAGCAAAGGAAGTTAGTTGCCATGCTATCAATCTGTGGCGAATACAAGACTTTAGGAGCTGAGATAGCCCTGTTGATTAGTCGCTTACAGGTAAAACTAAAAGGGTCAGACCATACAAAAAAAATCATCTGGGTATTAGAAATTGTAAACGTTCCTTTGATAAACAGCTCAATTGGTTAAATGTTTCGACTTAGAGACACTATTTACCGAGGGATAAAATCAAACCTGTTTAAGAATACTAATACAAATAATAAAACTGCTCTAACAAGACAACAATAACTGGTTAGTTGCTAGCAAGAAAAAATAAAGAAGATGATTTTTTGTAAATTTCTTCAAGCCAACCAACTGTTAAGCTGGTTTAATTGATGTGACGAATTTATGAGAGCTAAAAAAAGCAGAATGAATATTGATTGTGAACAAGAACCTTTCAGATGATAGACTATGAAAGCTTTATTAATAGTTATTTACTGTTGAAAAAATTTGAAGATAAGTGACTGATTGGTTTGTTAAATTTGAGAATGGCCAACTGAATTCCTTTTTTTAAGTAGAGATTACATAGTTATCGAAAAAGCTTTGTAACAGTTGGTTTTCACAAATGAAAAACAAAAAATTAAAATAATTTTAAAGTTATGTTGTTATTCCTATTTCTTTTAAGTTCATTTGGTTAAAAGCCTAATAGAGAGTTTAGTTGTTTGTAGCTTATTATTATTATTTTATTCTTAACTATCTAGAAAATGTTATTCAATATCTAAACTGAATTGCACAAAAATCAAGCATACGTAAGCATATGTCTTCTGGATATAATTATAGGTAAGGTATAGCTTAACAGTGGCTGAGCTTTGAATGCAAGATAGAATTAGAGGTGAAGTATGGATTAACGCTGGTCTAGGTTTGCCTAATGAATAAGATTAGGGGTGAAGAATGATTTAACATTGGCTGAGCTTCACCTACTGGATAAAATTAGAGGTGAAGTATGGATTAACGCTGGCCGAGCTTTGCCTAATCGATAAAATTAGGGGTGAAGAATGGTTAGGGCGCTATAATGTGACGGTTAATCCCACTATTCGTTGGTAAAAAAGTTGGCGGTGGGTGATGATGACTAGCTGCCTTCACTCTGGTCTTACACTGCTAAATTGCGGACGGCTAGCGTGTAGCTTTGCGCGAAATTCCTAACACACCAATCCTGGATAGAATTATGAGTGGAGTGTATTTTAACCTTAGATAAGCTTTACAGTATATCAGAAACATATAGTTAGAAACTTAATCAACCAATTACCACCATGTATGTATTATAACATGTATTAACTTACTACCAAAATTTCCTCTTACAGAGCAAGGTAAACAAAATAAGTTGCGACATCACTCAGTTTCACATTTAAGCCATTCTTTCAATTGAAATTATACTTGTAACAATTTCATTTGAGTTTATAGAATATGCCGGACCTTCTTCTAATTAAAATCAGTGGCAGCTTGCCAACAAAAGAGCGAAATTATCTTGCAGGAATTAAGTTGAAAGTTACGCGCAGTGTAAGAAGTCCTTATCTGTGCAGTGTGGTTTACTTTTAAGTTTCGAAATTATCAATTTCTGATGTTCATTTCCATTCACAACCAGTTATACGAGAATATTATTTATGTATACTAACATTATAATATTCTGCCACTTTTAGGAAAAAAAAAAAAAGATGTAAAGGGTCATGTATTATTTATAAAGAACCTGTAACGAAGTTCAAAACAGTCTAACATATGAAAACTCAACCTATGTACATGGAAAAATTCAAGTTAATTCAATTTATACTGTCTTTTGGCTGGTATTTCACTATTATTCGATTTTCGTATTCCTGAAACAAAACATCATACATACTGCAAAGACATAATGAGTTAAAAATTTTTCACAAATAATTTTACACTTAACGTAAAAAAAAAAAAAAGGAAAATTTAAGACATCTCTGAAACAAAGACCGAACAAAAAAAATTTATGAGTTTGTCTAGTTCAAGAGGATTTGTTTGTTTTTAAACGATAAATTGAACGATTCACCACAGGAAATCAAAACATCTATCTAGACAGTGTCCACCTCATTGGCCACAGTCTTGGAGCACATGTGGCTGGCTATGCTGGAGAACGATTAAACAAAGTGAGAAGGATCACTGGTAAGTCTGTTGTTTTTTGTTATAACAACTCCAAGAAACCTAGACATTAAATCACGCCTCAATAGTATATCTTTGTAACTTAGAAAGTTATCTTAATGGAGACAGTGTGGGTCCAATAAATGCGTCTTTCAAATAAAGCCAACAAAAAAGTATAAAACTGAAATTCTGACAATTTTTGTTTTAAGTGAAAGGAAGACTCAAGAACATGTGACAAAATTATTAAAAACGTGAGCTCGTGAAGTTCTATAAATCAAAGATGTTTGCTTAAATTAATAATCTATCTAATAGTTAATATATTTATCAATATATACATATTTTATATGTCTTGGTGTTTTATACATATATAATCAGTACAGACAATTTTAAAAATTCTGATAGTTACAAACTCAGCTTGAATACTGGAGGTTTTTTTTCTATATACTCGGATTTTTCAGTGTGCCTAAAGTATTTCTTTATATGTAATCGATATTTTGTAATTCAAAATACGAGCCATTTAATCCTTAGGACTAGATCCAGCTGGACCCTACTTCACAGGCATGGCTGAAAATGTTCGTCTGGATAAGAGTGATGCGGAATTTGTTGATGTGATCCACACGGACAGCAGCAAGATATTGTTTTTGGAATATTACTATTTTAATCATAATAGTTTTTTATGACGGAACTAGCCAGTTCAGTCAATTGCTGAACATTTTACACTGTTGAAAACATAGTTGCTGAGTTATTTCCAAACAAGAGGAAATCCTCCAAAGCCACGGCACTTGAAATCCTTTTAGGTAGGATTAGAATAAATTAATCTATGACACCTTTTTTTTTCCTCCTTATTCGCTATATTTTTGTACACCAGCAATGCCAATTGTGGGGTGCGCGTATACCTCATTCAATTTTATTACACATCAGGATCTCTACCAGCCTACCCTCAAATTTAAATTATCTTAAGCAGATTGAGGGTAAATCAATCTATGACATCTTGGGCGTGGTCAAATAATCAATCGAAAGGGTTTGACCTCCTAAATCAATAGATCTCAAATCGGTCAAAAGATGACGGAACTATGAGCTAAAAGTTTATAGTTAAAAAACAAGCAAACTCGGAGCCGTTCTACGAGTCTTAATCTGCAAGATAGTTTTTTGGACATTTATAAACATTTGTGTGTTGATTAATTAGTTTGTATCGGCGTTCATGCAAAGCTACATAAAGGACTATCTGCTAGCCCGTCGCTGATTTAACACATTAAAGCGAAGGTACCTAATCAACAACACTCACTACCAACTCTTGGGCTACTATTGTTTGACTGTTACTGTTATAACTCACACACAACCTGAAGTGCGAATCGCGCTTTCGCGGTGACAAGCCTCGAACTACAAATCCTCAGATTCACAGTCTGAGCTCGCTGACTACTAGGCCAGCTCAGCCTCTTAGTTATTTGGCGTAAGAGTCAGATACTATATACATTCTAAGAGAAAAATATTGGACATAAGATATAAATTGGTAAAAGGTTAATACACAGAAACTTTACATTACAGAAGTAAATGACTGTAAGCATTTTCTGAACAAGATCATTTAATTTCTTTTAGGTTTAGGCACAAACGAAGTTGTTGGCCATGTTGATTTTTCCCAACAAAGGAAATGAACAACCAGGGTGTTTATCTGATTCATTGAAAAGATGTTTTACGGATGGTGTTAAGAAAGTGGGTAATGTATTTTTTTTTCTATTTAAGGATATATATGTCTGATTTTGTTGACCTGTACACGTTAGATTCAATTACACCTTTAGTGATTTACGTATGCTTATATAGAAAAGGTTATTGCTTTTTATGAAGTTATATTTTATTGTTAATTTATCCATGATGACCAGTAATACATTTTACATTAGATAAAGATAACCAACGTCTTTTGTTTAAGCCTAGCTCAGCATCGCTGAGAACTAGGTTTCCTTAAAACTAAAGGTTGCAATGAAACTAATTTCAATCAGTTTGAGAATTGTTTCTGGTTAAAAATTCTGAACTAAATCAACAACAACGAAAAATTATATCAAAACTGTTTATGTGAACTCGTGACATTTTGTTGAATTCATTCATAATCGCAGGGTTAACGAAAAAGTTTTTCATTTTATAAAAACTCTTCTTATCATTTCCTGGTTTGTAACAAATATATTTTTAAAAAAGGTGAAACAAAAGCGCATTCCCCGTATTATTTAATTATAAGTTGCCCCCCAGTGGCACAGAGGTATGTCTGCGGACTTATAACGCTAGAATCGGGGTTTCGATACTCGTGATGAGCAGAGCACAGATAGCCCATTGTGTAGCTTTGTGCTTAATTACAAACATCATAAGCTTAACATCTAAAAAATGATACACACCTCTTAAAGCTTTAAATATGGAGTTCTAAGTTTGTCGTTAAACAAAATGTGTACCAAACCTGTTTCTTAAAATTATTTTACCTTTTGATGGTTGTTTTAAGAACACGACATTCATACACTCTAATTTAACACTTTGGATATGCAGAAGGTTGCTGGCAATATATGGTGACAATTTCTATATGTAATCTCCCTGTTCTTATGCAAATATCACCTAAACACGATCTCTTTTGGGAGAGTGACATCACAGCACTTTCTGACACAAGGTTTTCCTATTCCGCAAGTATCAAAGAATGTAAGATGTGAAGTTTAATATTATGAAAGAAAGAGGCATCTGTAGTGTAGATCCATGAAGAAATACCAATTCTGTACGGAGTGGGTGCCATTAGAACATCCAAGTCAATAAAGCAGTTTCTCTGCATGATGCCATTTGCAGGAATGCTCCTTTGGGCTGCTCAAACTAGCCCACTGAATCATTATCCACTCGCAGTCGATGGGCTTTGGGAAACATGTAAACAGAAGGGATACAATACTGATCTCAGTGTATTGCACAAAAACCTCCTCCGGTGAAATTGCACAGAAGAGCAATAGTCTATAATTATAGCCACCGTATTGTTAGAAGAAAGGTCTTTAAGACCAAAACACTTATCCTTATATTGTTACTATACTTTGTTAGTTCCTAATGTTCTGTCTAACATTCAATCTATCTGGATAATGAGATTAGTCCTAATTTGGCTACAAAAGAACTTATTTATTTATATAGGTGTCAGAAGACTTATTCGCTGTGATCATGTAAGAGCCATCGATTATTATCTTGAAGCTTTAAGAAATAAAAAATGTACACCAGTAGGGATTGCATGTGAGCGTTGGGATGATTTTATCAGAGGGAAATGTGCTGATTGTGGTGAAGACAATAGTAAATGCGTCAAGCTGGGACCCCAGGCAGAAGAGTACCTGAAATACAAAGATGACAACAAAAGTCAGAAGCTGTTTCTGAAGACAGCATCAAACGATCCATTCTGTTGTATGTATTTTATTTGCTATCTACTGAAACTTAACATGAAATTTGTTTGCTTAGTTGCTTATAATAGGTGCGAGTATAATTTTATCTACTGTAAGCATTAATTTACCTGAATCTAACATTGGCATATCTGTTTTGCTTTTTTAAAGTAAGATTATATTATACAGTTAAACATGAAACATTTGTGTTAGTGCTATATAATCTAGATAACGTACAAACTGCAAGTCTCCTGTACAGACTGAAACCTGAGTTTATGGCAAATTTTCTGTGTGTAAGATAAAAAAAAATTCTCAAAATATGATACAGATTATCTAATGGAACGAATTTTTACAAAATAGTATAATGTTTCTATGGATGATTAAAAATTCAATATTATGTTATCCCACTCTAAGGCTCTGAAGATATAAAATTATCAAAACCAGCGTTAAGATATGGCAATTAAAAACAGTATTTTACTTATCTTTTGTATTGCAGTATTTCATTACAATGTGGAAGTCAACATTGCTAATCCAGCAAATAGCACTAGCCAGAGAGGTCTTCTGTACGTTACAATGAAAGGTTCTGATGGCAATCTGAAAACGCTCCTCAATGATAGGTAGTTTACCTATTTTGATATGAATGATGGTTAATAAGTGTTGAAGCCATTTTTGGCATGTGTTTATATACATTCTGTCTTTTTTATAAATCATTTAATGAATTGTTATCCAACTTTATATGAAGGAATATCATAAATTAAATGAGAAGTAATTTAAAATTTATAGTTTTAGGTCATAACTTGAATCCAAATGTACTTGTGATAGACTTGTTTTACAGAAGTTCGCGTTTGGACCCACTCCATTGATTTTGACCTATTTTTTATAATTATTAGATTATTAGTATAAAACATCTTTAACAAACACCGTAAAATATATAGATAACAATTCAATACAACATTTTATGGTTTAAGACCTTAACCAATTAAATCACGTAACACTGGCGGATGTGACCTACTCTTGTTAATATTAGGTCGCCAAGAAATTAATATCGCTTTTTTAGATGAAAATACCCAAACAACTTATATATCAAAACAAAACATTTATCAAATGAAATAGTCTCCATTCTTATCGATGATGCTTTTCCATCTTACAATCAGGTTGTTAATGTCCTGATTAAAGACACCACTTGGCTTTGAAGCAAAAAACATGTCGATGTCTTTTTTAACACCTTCCACATTTGCTTATGTTTTCCCATTAAGATGGTGTTGCAGCGAACGAAAAAGATGGTAATCTGATGGTGACATATCTGGAGAATATGGTGAGTATGGGAGAACTTCTTAACCCAACCCCATAATCTTGTGTTGCGTCAAACGTGCCACATGTGGACGTGCATTGTCGTGGAGAAGAAGAACACCTTTCCGATTGACGAGTGAAGGGCATTTCTGGTGAAGGGCTTGATTTAAACGTTCCAGTTGCTGACTATAGATCTCTGCATTGGCAGTTCGCTGTGGAATGAGGAGTTCGAAATGAATTGCTCCTTTAATGTTCCACCAAATGCAAAGCATCACTTTCTGTGGATGGAGTCCAGGTTTTGAGGCCGGAAGTGGTTTTTGTCTAGGACTGAGCCATTGTTTTTGGCATTTAATATTCGCATAGAGAATCCATTTTTCATCACCGGTGACAATTATATCAAAAAACAGTTCACGTGCATTACGCGCCAGAAGATACAAAGCAACGTTCACATGTTCGAAACGATGATCATTGGGGAGTTCGTGAGGCACCCAAACACCTTCTTTATGGAGTTTTCCAATATTCCTTAGATGTTTTGTATTGTTTGTTTCATGAGAAGCATTCAATTTC